ATATGATGTGTGTGTGTGCGCACGCATGTCCGCGTGTGCGTGTGTGTGTCCAGAGTTCCAACTTTGAGCTCTGTCTATACATATAATTAATCAAAATCGGCTTCTCTTAGCCAGGAATTTGGCGAAGTTGGGGTCGGTTTAAAGAACCTGCCTTCCTGACGTGTACCATTAACAAAAACAAAAAACCGAATTACCCATTCTTTAGACAAAAATCAATTAATCAAGCAGTAAGAAGTTAGAAGTGACCAATTAATACAGCAAACCATGGATATATATATATATATATATATAGATCAAAGTTCAAATCAAAACACCATATTTCAATAGCAAACAGAACAATAATTTTATATTAACACCTACCAGTCTTCCTCTCTCGCTTCTATTGGAGAACAAACCCATAGAATATTTTTTCTTTCATCCTTTCCCAGCACTTTATTTCTTCAAATTGAATTCTTCTATGTCATCAGTGACCTTCAAAACACTAAAAAAGGAAAGCATTTAGAACAGAAGACCGGATCAAGTTCGGAAAGAAATAATAGAAAAGTTCAGGGGAAAACAAGTTACCGTAGAGACGGTCGCGGAGCTGATCCGCTGTCTTCGGCAACCAACAAAGCCTCCACAGTATCCAAGCGAATTTGAGTCCACGCTAGGATTGAGGCAGGCAAAGGAATTTATAGACAGGAATATGAGAAAGGAAAGAAAGATCCCTTGAGATATTGTACAGGAACATCCCAAATTCAACACATAAGAGTCCTAATCTCTTACATTGCCGCTCGGAATGCACGATTCCTTTCGACAATCGCGCGATTTCCCTCGTTCTCTAGAAATTTTGGTCATAAATTAGCTTTGTAATCAATATTTATTTCTGGTATGGGACTAGGATTGTGGTTCGTGGACGACATGTTTGCCTTCAATTGGTTCCATTTTTCTACTGAGTGTGCATTATATATTGGGTTTTCCATTTTTCTTTTTCTTTTTTTTTAATGAAAGAAAATTTACTAAATGCGCATTTTAAAAATTTATTGAAGTGCAACGATACACTCTATCTGTTCTTTTTCTAGTAATTTTCGTTTATTAAATAAATAAATAAATTGTTTCTGTGAGGCTCTTAACTGTTTTTACATTCTCTGATTCTTTTACTTACTGCACAATTACCCTTTTTTTTTTTTGGTGAGTGATGCCAAAATTAGGTAATTTTGAGTATCAACTATTTCAAGTTTAATTTGTACCATACATCAAAAAAAGCTTAATTTCTACTATACTATAGTAAGGTTTTATTGAAAATTAAAAAAATTTATGAAAGGAAAATGTGGGAGACCCTGCAGATTCACCTCAATATCCTTCATTGTGTACTCCATTAGTCCACTTAATTACAGTATTTTAATCAAAATTACTTTTACAAAAACAAAAATAAAAGGTTATTATTCTTTTGGGCCAAGGATAATTTTGTTGATGATGGCATTTTATTAATCAAATCATATATGAAGTGGACACTGAAAAAATAAAAATGTAAAAAACCCACTCCATCAAAAAGATTGCTTTCACTTTTTACTCTGTTCGTCCAAATCTCCATCCTCCATTGTGGGATTTATTACTTCACCCTTCCTTTCTTATTATCCACTCTAATTATATCATTTATTGTGTAACTCAAGATAAAAAAAATTTAATAATAAACCTCTAATATGAGTCGTACATCATCAATGGATGTTCTTCCCTTCCCATCCTTAAAGAGTTTATTTGGA